CTGCTTACGACTCTTGGAGGTTTAGAATCCTTGTCGGTGGCTGAACTAGTTTCCTCTGTCTTTGTGTGTGTGTGTGTGTGTGTGTGTGTGTGTTTTGCTAATGAATAAAATTGTGCATTCGTAAACATTCCTTCTGGTCCTCAAGTTAAGCTGGTCGTTGTTTTTTTCCTACACTGGATGGCAGCATTTCCACACCAGGTGAAATGTGGCTGTTCTCAACGGTGCATCATCTCCTCACTGGGTGAGATTCGGATGCGTCAGCCAGCAGATCTCCACAGATGGTTCATCGTAGCAAGATGTCACTGAGAGTCATTAGGCTCGCTGCTTACAGTCAGGGTTGCCTAGGGAGAGGTCAGTTTCATCCAAATTGCAGCCGTGCCACGTGAGGCGATGTTCTTTTTCTTTTATTTTTTTCAATCAATAAACTTTATATAAGGCAAGACAAATACAACAGTGCAACTCTGTAGAAGGCATAGCAGAGGCAGACTTGGAAATGGAAACGTAGAGTAAGATTTTTATAATAATAAATAATAGTAATCCGTAACAATTGATAATGGAACAAGAACTGAAAGAGCAACAAGGTGATTTGTATGTTAGGATTGACCTGGATTGGTGGGCAGTTCCATTAATGTTTCAGTCAAGTGTTCCAAATGATCCAATACATTTCAGAGATTACAAATATAACTGGAATTCAGATTAAAAAAGAAAAACTGGACATCATTCTTTGTTTATGAATAAAGAATGTTGCCAAACAAAATATTAGGTTACAACAGAGTTCTATTGTTTTGTTTTTCATTTACTCTCCAAAGTCTACCGTATCTATAGAAATACATTACGCAAGCGCAGTTTTTGATTTGATGCACCTTCATAAGCCATTACAAAATGTTTTGGTGTGACTGCATTCGTAGGGGATCTGCTCTATTGTTTCTACATCACTTTCACTGGATCAGCATTTAGTCATCAATATTAAATTAGTTTCTCAGTAGCTCTTTCAAGGGGTAAATTGCATTTACAATCTTAAAGTTTGTTTCTTTATCTTTTTGTTGAATGGGGAAGTTTAAAATAAGACTTGCGTTTGTTTCTGTTATATTTTCTACTTTCTGCTACCATTGTGGCATGAACGATTTTTATCTTTCTTTCAGTCCCACCGAGACCTCCGGGGTTACTGCGGCCTTCCCCCAGAAAGCAGAAAAGGCGGAGGAGTACGTAAAAAAAGTTGCAGTTGGCGAGCATCCGACGGTATTTGGTGGGAAGAGGACGGAGCTGTCCGCGACGCATTTTCCCAGGCGCTCAGGTCCGCCGACACAAAGCTGAGGGAGGGGAGGCACAGAAAAAGGCAAGGGACGGCAGAGCTCCCGACCGTCATCTCTTTATCCAAGCAGTTGCTGGTCTGCAGCTACCTGTTAGCTCTCCGTGGATGGGTGCACTAACTTTTCGTGCGTCTCCTGGAGTCTTTCTCCTTCTCTCTCTCTCTCTCTCTCTCTCTCTCTCTCTTTCTCATAAATGTACAAAAAGATTTAATTTTCAGGCTTCAAGACTCAACTGGAATCACTGACTAGTTGTTATTCCAGTTGAGTCCCCAGTGTGCACATTGCTGTCTGTCTGTCCGTGTGGCGACATGTTTTTTAAAAGGTTTTAATCTCTTCCTTATCCACGGACGACGCCATGAGGCCACAGTGAGGCCATGGACATGGGAAAGGCTTTTCTCCACCTTTCCTTTTTCTCGAATAAGGAAACATTAGCTCGGCTAGCTGGCTAACATCACTTCTGCGGGGAGCTTGGATAACGACATGTCCTTCAACTTGTGTCGAAGCCGCGTAGCTGGGATTGGAACGTCACTCGCACAGCGCAGGAGAAAAGCTGTGGGCAGCGACGGATGCGTTCCTGGACAAGCAGAAGACGGAGAAGGACCGTGCACGTCAGGTCTGAACCAGCACGGCGTCATCTCCAAGTACACCGCCACGGCCAAGAGGCAGATCAACAAGCTCAAAGGCCATTGGAGAACTTTTAAGAGGCCAAAATTGGTCTGACTTTATTTTGTAAGATTTTCTTTCTTTTTAATTCAAAGCTAAGTCCAGAAAGCTTTCGAATCATATGTTTCTGTTTAGGAGTGGTTTTTTTTTTTTTTTTTTTTTTTAAAAACAAGCTGTAAAACAAAATTGGGCCCAAGGAAAAGCAGGAGATCTCACTGCAATGATGAAAACGTGTCGGAAGTTTGCAAAGAGCTTTTTTGTAAATGGTTCATTTTATTATTTTTGTTTTATTTTCTCCACACATGTCCCACGTTCAGGTTCACTATTCAATTGATTTGGTCTAACGCTAGAATGAAACACTGGAAGGGTTTCATGTCTATAAAGCTGAAAGTTGTGTTTTTTAAATGTGATCATTTGGATCTTCACATTTTGATTCTTGGAGATTTGCAACCATGACACATTTTCCTTCAGAGAAGCTTTTGTTTTTGTTTTTTTCTGATAGATTGTGGCATTATTTATTATTTTTGTAAATAGTTATTTTGTTGTAAATCTCCTTTTTTGTGTGTTGTGATTTGTTTTCAAACTTTCTGTTCTTGTTTTTGTTGAAGAACCTATTTATTGCAATTCCTTTCTTGTCATCCTTTACTTGAGCCAGCGTGCAAAATCGAGATTTGCTTCCAGATTTCAAAAGTTGTGGTTCCAGCAGTCCGGTCAGCCCAACATTTGTTTTTGGCTCGGGTGGTCTGGTGGTCAGCCCCAGTCTGCCTGGGATTCGAACTCCAACCCCCTCCACACTTAACAGCTGCCCCTTGTTGCACATGAGAAGAACTCAAAAGATGAGTGTTCCATGATAAGCCCAGCAAATAGCTTTTTATTCAAAACAACTACAAGTTGAATAAATTCATCTTGATAAGCTTTCCATTTTTATAAGTAAAAATCGTAACAGTTCCCCGGTATTTTAAGATTT